CGCAAATATTAAGGTTAAGAGGCTGAGCTCGTAGATGATGATAAATAACATAGTTATGTATAATATATTACATTTCTGAAAGTATATCCCTGTAATTATTACACACTGTAGCTTTAAAGTCAGAATTCTGAGAAAAAAAAAGTCAGAATTCTGACTTTTTTCCAATACTAAATTGAAATAAAATTTTAAAATCAGTAACTTTTTTTTTTTTTTCCAGTGGCCCTAATCCTCTTCCGTAAGTTTCAACTGAATCCTGACAAAGAAAGAAGTTCGTCTGAATTGTTGAATCAAAATGATTAAAACTGGGGGGAAAAAAAATCAGTCAACAGAACGAAGACTCTGAGGATGGTTCTGATAAACCAAACCTTTGGGCCGGTCTAAGTTCCGTCCAAACTCACCAACGCTGTTCTGGGACACGCAGGCCGGCAGCTTGCTGCTCAGCTCGTCCTTCAGCTGATCAATCAGTTTGTAGATGACGGAGTGCAGCTGCAGCGGGACGCCCTTCTTCGCCGCCAGCTGCTGGATGGAGCGGCTCGCCGCCACGTTGAACCCGTAGATAGAACCTGAGGGAGAGGAAGAAATGTTCAACCGGTTCTGACCCAGCAGGAAAAAAGGTCTGCTGTAAACAGAACCCCACAGCCTCCACTCCTGAAAACATGTCGCTTCATTCACAAAACTGGAGGTGCTGGATCGTCGCTGGAACCGGTTACCATGGCGACATCAGATAATCAACAGTTCTGGAACTCAAACGTCAGAACCAGCTTCTTCATCCTGCATTCCAGCTTTACACATCAAGCTTTTAACATGAAACCCAACAGAATCCGTCGCCATCAGAACCCGACGGAGCGCCCCCTGCTGTCCATACCTCCAAACATCTCCGCCATGTTGACGTCGTTCTCAGAGATATCTCCAATGCCGAAGTGGACCACCTCCAGCTGGCACTGCTCCTGGGCGTCATAGCCGTCCAGGATGTTGAGCAGCGCCTCGACCGACCCATCCACATCTCCTGCAGATCAGAGGGACTCGCTGAGTGATGTCACAGTGGGCGGAGCCTGCCAGAGACAAGACGCCTCCCTACCTTTGATGATGAGCGGCAGGCTGAGCTCGTCGCTCTCCGTCCTCTCGCTGGGCCTCATAGAGAAGCGGGTCTTGTTGGCCCGGTACAGAGCGGCCTTCCTCTGCCGCCAGCTCAGGTGGGCAAGCCCCTCCCGCTCCCGTCGGTATTCCTCCAGGTGGAGCTTCTGCTTCAGCTCGATGGCGCTCTGCTCCTCAAGGAGCTTCTGCTGCTCCTCCTCGTGACTCCTCCACTCCACCACCTCTCTGGCTCGCTGCTGCAGAAGCAGAGAAACTACAGGCTTTTATTGCAGCGGTCTCAGATAGGAAGCAACCATGACTCTCTACATCTGGAGGACAGGAAGTCCTGCTCCGTTTCTGGGCCTCACCTCAGACTCCACCTCCAGGATGGTCTCCCCGGCGGATGGCAGCTCCTTCCAGCCGACCACCTGCACCGCCGTACTCGGTGCCGCCTCCGCCAGAGCCTGCCCGTTCTCATCAAACAGGAAACGCACTTTGGCCCAACACTTCCCGGCGACCAGGACGCAACCTCGCCTCAGCGTGCCCCTCTGGACGATGGCAGTCGTTAGCGGTCTGAGGAGACAGCGGGTTAAAGCGGGTCCAGCAGAGCGGTTAGTTCCGGTTCTGGAGGACTCACCCTTTGCCTTTGTCCGTTCGGCTCTCGATGACGACTGCCTCCACCGGACCGCTCGGGTCAGCCTTCAGCTCCAGAACCTCCGCCAAC